ATAAATCAGAAAAACTTAGAAATTCACCTCCATCTTGATCACCTCCAGAAGTAGAAGCTTCAGAATTTAATTCTTATTGAGATTTCCTCTAGCATATCCTCTTTTTGAAATTTCATTTTGAATCTAATAAAAATGACAAGCATAAAGACTTGTTTTCTATATATGCTGAAAATCTTTTTTTATTGGATTTTCTAGTTCTTCTGTTGTGGTATTAATGCCACTAAAGGAACTACTGATCTTTGCTTTTGATAAGAATAATTTCAGAGTCTCTATTGTGGGAATTATTGAAGATGAAGTGGCTTCTCGTTTGCTGGCTTTCCACAGTAATTTCTTTGAATGGTTTTACAAGTAGAACAATTTTTTCAACGAGAGACCACTGATATGGGCTCAACGTAGGAATTTTATTATCTATAGCATATGTGACAAGGGCCTTTTGCTGTTCCAACATGTAGTATGTAGAATTCCAGCGAGTAGGAACATCTTGAATTAATTTGTGTTTCTGCAAACCTAACTTTTCTTGCAAATCTTCCAATTTGATTACAGCTACAGCAGAATGATTAAAATGTGTGACAATATTTCTATTAACTGTGATTATAGTTTTCACATCTTGTTTAGAAAATATGCATTCGTTTAGTGTCAGCTGCAGCGTATGTATAAAGCATGATAATGCTTCTAAGTTGCAATTCCTAATTCCAGCTACCAGATTTGCTGCAGAATCTCTTAGTACTAAGAATATCTTATCACTTGTCAACTTATACTGTTCAAGAACAATTTTTAACTGTTCACTGATTCGTGTAGCTGTGTGGGAACCTTCAAAGGAAACAATTTGCAAAACAGCTCTTTCCTGCTGAAAATCATCCTTCAACCAGTGGGCTGTTACACTTAAAAAAGGAGAATTGTTTGTAGTTGCTGTCCAAATATCAGCGGTTAAAGAAATATATTTTGTTTCTGTTAAACACAGAAACACTTCAGCTTTTTAAACAATGTCGAAGTTTCCATGCGTCAACAATTAAGTGTTGAGATTTATTTTAGAAACAAAGGAAGAGATTGTTGATTTTGCGAGGATATTCGATCGTCTCTTGTTTACCTGACCCGAGGGAGATGGAAATACCAGGTGGAGAAAAATGGGTTTTTTCCACATTATAATTAACTGTATAATTAACTCCAGGATCTCACACTATTAATGCAATAAATTATTAACACTAATCGGCCGATTAATCGGTATCGGCCGATAATGCATGGCCGATTAATCGGTAATCGGCCATTTTGCTTATCGGTGCATCCTTACTTAATACCTAAGACTATTTCTTTTTAACTATTTAAGTGCAATAGGTTCTTAATTTAGCAAACTAATTGGGGAAAGGAGTGTCTTTTATTGCCATTAAATCTGTTATATATTTTTAAATTAATTCAATTTATTATTAACTACCTTATAATATACAGGATGTATTTAAAGGTTATAATGTATACATATGAATAAAATATTAAAACGTACTGTAAATTGTGTTATTTATATTCATTGACAAAGTCTTTAAGTGTGCTTTAATTGCAAAAAAAGGTACTGAATTTTTTCTTTGACACAGAAGTTTTTATTTGTTTATTAAATACAGGTCCAATTATATATGATTATTTAGGTAGAATAAAATTGATCCTGTTGTTCACAATCAATCATAATGATAGTAAGCAACTTATTACATTCTTACTTTTCTGCTAAACTTTAGAATTACATAGGTTTCAAGAATTGTGAAATAGTTGGAGAAACTAAAAACATTATGTAAGGCTGATAAAATTGTGACCTATGAAAAGATATGGAGCTATGATTTTTGAAACATTTTACTTAAATACTTAGCTTCTTAGACTATGACATAGTTAAATATTATGTTAATTCTATACTTTTCACTCAATTTGCTACATCTGTTACTTGGATATACAGTAGAGCGTCGTTTATCCGAATCAATTGGGGACTGGGGTGGTTCAGATAACTTATTTTTCGGATAACGAATCATGTACGAAAAAATATATTAATTTATCCCATGTTGAAATTTTTCTCCGTTGCGTGTCGCTTCGCGTTGAATTTTCGTCGATGTTAAGCCTAACGAAGACTATTGTATCGTTAAAAATTATTTTTTTATTTTGTACAAACAAAATAAATTTATTGAAAAATATAAAAACAATAAAAAATTATACTTCAGATGTTAATTTAGTATCAAAAATGTAAAATATTTGAGTAGCCCGAGAAATAGCCGAAGATTGCAGCGCCACAGCACTAGCAAAAATTTAAATTTGCCGACTGGAATGCTTTCAGATAACCAGCTTTCGGGTAAACGACACTCTACTGTATCTATTTTTTTTTTTTCAAACAAAGCAAACTACAAAGTTCTAGAGAAAGTTGGGATATTTTACAGCCTTTTATGTACACTGCTGTCTCTTACAGCAAATTTATGGTTAGTCACTTCATGTTTGGAAATTCCCAGTACCTAATTGAAACATCTGTTACTTCCTGATCAACTTTTCTTTGAAATAATAAACTAGAATTGTAGTTTAATATATTTCTATGGGAAATAAATGGAGATATTCGATTGGTGTAATGAAAAATAATAATTCTAGGATAATTTAGTTAATTTAGTGCTTTTTCACTTCTTATTTAGACTTCTAAATCATTAGATTACTGTGTGGGTAACTTCTTTGTATGTGAGAAACTCAAAACATAGTAAAAAAGCTTTTGAACAAATTAGAATTTAATTTGGAACGTAGAGAGACATATTCTTCTGACACCTTCCATCTATTGGATTTGGAGAGCAAAATTGGCAGCACCAAATTATTACAGGAAAGTATTGATTCCAATTCTGGTAGTGTGAGTGTTTCCTCTTGGTCAAAGGTTTGTAGTGTGAAAGGATAATTTAATTTTATGGGAAATGATGGAGTTAAAATTCCAGTCACAGTTCCAAATGATGTTTTAAAAATTTTGAGTGTTTTTCAATGGCAACATCATAAACCAAATATGTAAGGAGACAAATAAATTCACTGAATGACACAGCTGAAAACAGTAATAGTTCATCAGGAATAAGTAGAAAGAGCAGAATGCAAGATTGGAAAAAAACAAGCTCAATGGAAATTTACTTATTAGAAGGTATTTTTCTTTTGGTGGGGATTGTAGCTGAAGCTGAGTTTACATTCCTATTTTTCTAGAAATCCAATAATAAATATACCAACATTTTCTGAAATGATAATGAAAGATTGATTTCTTTTATTACAGTAGAGCGTTGTTTATCTGAATCGATTGGGGACTGGGGTTGTTCAGATAATTTATTTTTTGGATAATCGATTATATACGAAAAAATATATTAACCTATTTCATGTTGAAATTTTTCTCCGTTGCGTGTCGCTTTGCGTTGACTTTTTATCGATGTTAAGCCTAACGAAAACTTTTTAAAATAATAATCGTGGCTATTGTATTATTAAAAAATTTTTTTTATTTTGTACAAACAAAATAAATATATTGAAAAAATATAAAACCAAAAAAAAAATATACTTTAGAAGTTGATCTAGTATCAAAAACATTTGATTCAGCACGACACACTGTCCTCAGAAAAACACCACACAAAAGTGCCAGTGCTTCCAGCTGAGACACACACACCAACAAAAAAAATATTGTAGTAGCCCAAGATATAGCCAAAGATTTCAGTACCACAGCACTAGCGAAAATTTAAATTTGCCAACTGGAATGCTTTCGGATAACTGACACTGTACTATATTAAAATTTTTGCACTTTTTCAGCAGTACTAATAAAAATACAGTAGAGTCTCGAAAACTCAGCCTAATGTGGACCGAAGGGTGGCCGAGTTTGTGAAAATGCCGGGTTATTGGAAATGGGGTTTAAAAAAATAAGTACAGTGGAACCCCAGTTAACAAACTTAATCCGTTCCGCGACACCGTTCATTAACTGAATTGTTCGTTAACCGAAGCAATTTTTTCCATAGAAATTAATGCAAATGCAGTTAATCCGTTCTAATCTCCAAAATTTTTGTGATTTTATTTGTAATATACGGTAATTTTCTTTGATGAAAATGTAGGAAAACGTAGTATCTATCATTACAGCAACAAACATGTAAACTTTGTTTAATAAAATAGCACTGTACATAACAGTGCTATTTAATTTTTTCTTGCCTGTCACAAAGTTGCAGTTACAGTAGAACCTTGATTATCCTCCCTAATTGGGGACTGGGGTTGGTCGGATAATTGAAAAGTCGGATAACCAAAAAGTATGAAAAAATCCATTATTAGTGTAGTATATTATTATATCCCATGTAATTAGTATATTAGTATATCACTATTAACCTATTTTGCGTTGAATTTTCATCGATGTTAAGCCTAACAAAAATTTTTTAAAATAATAATCGTCGCTATTGTAGCGCCACATCACTAGCGGACATTTGAAATTTGCCAACTAGGACGGTCGGTTAACCGAGGGGTCGGTTGATCGGGGGCGGATAATCGAGGTTCTACTGTAATTCTACTTGTTATGACACTAAGGAACCTATTAAAGTGCTATAAAGCATCACAATTAATAACTGCCCTTATTCCCCATCCTCATATTCTCTAGCAAGTACAAGGATACCATACTGTTAAGCTTTTAGGAGGGCATGAGGTAAACAAAGTGCCTATATACAATGAAAGTTCTTGTTGGCTGGCTGGTGTCCTATCTCTTACACAAAATGATTCAGTATGAGAAGTCTTGCATTCTTCACATGAAAAATACTTAAAATATTTTGTTTTCCCTAAAAACATTTAGAAATGGGTGCAAAAAAATATGTGAAAATATAGTGTACTGCATCTTCAAGACATAAGTGGAAAATTATATTTAAATTTTTGACTGTTGAGTCCATGAACTTAAAAATTATCCTATATAATTATGTAAAAATGGGATTATAATTAAAAAATTAACTTTAATTAGTTAAATTATTTACATTATTAATAATCTAATAAAATTTTAATTGTAGGAAAGGCAGTTATATCTAATGATGGAGCTACAATAATGAAGCAATTAGATATTGTACATCCTGCAGCCAAAACTTTGGTTGATATTGCTAAATCTCAAGATGCTGAGGTGTGTAGTTTATTGGGTATTATCATATTTTATGTTTAATTGTATATAAATGTTTAACATTATAAAGTTGATGTAGAGTGAAACTTCAATTTACAGACACTCACTATATGAGAATTTGAAAAATATTGAAAAATGAAATAATAATAATAATAATAACAGGTCATAAATACTAAAATCTACAGAAAACACATACTCAAAGATATAACACTCACAAATGTCACATCATTCCAGAAACTATATAACACATCACTTCTGGTTGCAAGCTCTTCACACAGACAGATTACTTACACAGACATAATTAAGTAAAAATATAATACACCAAGAGCTTGCAAAGAAACACATTATTAGACATCCACGAACCATACTACAAATAGATTTCACAGACAGTATTAGAAAACAACACGCACAAAATGTACTATGAAAGAGCCATAATCACAGATAAAAAGAATTTACCACAACAGACCAGACATCACACTCATTGACAAACACAACAAAATCACATGCATTATAGACATAACCATTCCAAACACTCACAATATACAAAACACGTGCGCTGAAAAAATTAGCAAGTACAGTACACAGAACTTTCCCGGAAAATAAGGCACCTGTGGAGGATGAATAGGGTGTTTATTGTACCTGTTATCTCCTCTACAGATGTGATACCACACACACTACACAAAAGCCTAGGAACATTACAATTGAATAGAAATACATACATCACACTACAGAAGGCCACTATATTGAATACATGCCATATTGTTAGGAAATTCCTGAATACAGACACTGACACACTTATTTAATTTTAGTTTTGTTCTGGTTCTATTGCCTTGACTCTGGTCCAGCATAGTACACAGCCACCAGTGTCAACCGAGTATATCCCACTAAACCCAAAATAATAATAATAATAATTTATAATTTTATCAAGAAATAAGTTCATTAGATAAAATGCTGGAGAGTGATTGAGTAATTTTTTTCAGGTTGGAGATGGAACAACAACAGTTGTTTTATTAGCTTCCGAGTTCTTAAAACAATGCAAACCATTTGTCGATGAAGGAGTTCATCCTCAAATTATTATTAAAAGTTTTAGGCAAGCATTACAAATGGTATTTCATAATTTTAATTCTAATTTATATTAAATAAATATTTGGTTTATTGAAATGTATAATGTTTTCTTTTTTAAATTTTAGTCTGTCGAAATGATAAATGAAATTTCTGTAAATATACAGCGAGATAATGCAGAGTGAGTATTGTATTACTAATTTTAAGTAATAAATTTGTTTCTAATTGTAAAAAAAAAAAAAAAATATTGTTTAGAGAGCATCGAGCATTACTAGAGAAGTGTGCAATGACTACGCTTAGTTCTAAATTGATTGCTAACCAGAAAAAATTTTTTGCAAAAATGGTAGTTGATGCTGTACTACAGTTAGACGAACTGTTGCCACTTAATATGATAGGTATAAAAAAAGTACAAGGTGGTGCTTTAGAGGTATGTGTCTAATATATATTAAGTTTATGTGAAAATGAAAATTATTTTCAAGTATGCATTATTCATTTCAGGATTCAAAATTAATAACAGGTGTTTCATTTAAGAAGACTTTTTCTTATGCTGGATTTGAAATGCAGCCAAAAAAATATTTAAAACCAAAGATTGCTCTGTTGAATATAGAATTGGAATTAAAAGCCGAAAAAGAAAATGCCGAAGTTCGTGTAGACTCTGTGCAGGTAAAAAGCATATGTAATCTCACTGTAGATTGTTTTATATGCAGTTGAAATTGTTTCTAATAAAATATAAGTTTTGAAAAATATTAAAATTAATTTGAGTAGTCTTTTAAGTTAAAAATATACTTTAAAATATATAAACATTGAATATCAATTAAAAGTTTTAACATTGGAATCAGTGTTAATGTAAAGAAACTTGTATTTCAGATTAAATAAACTGTTTGCAAATGTTGATGTGGAAAAGGATTTATCTGATAGCAATCTCGATAACTAACATTAATTAATAATATCAATGATTTGAAGTTGTTTTGTTTTGTAAATAAACATCTGAATTTTTTTCAAATAAAAATTGAGAAAAACTTAATAGGTATTTTTAATAGAAAAGTCTTAATGATATGCATATACTTAGCTTGTTTTATGAAACAATGCTAAATTTTAATATAAGGAATATTCATATTATCTTGCATTTTAAGGCTGTTGGTTTGCAGTTTAGAAAAGACATTAAAGTTTTAATGCCAACTACCGGAAGTATTGAGCATAACTAAAGAGGTTACAGTCAGCCTTAATTAATATGTTAGATTTTGATTGTGATACATTGTTTGATGATTGAAATAAATGAAAATTTTAATCCAATATTCAGCTTTATTAGACTACATTCTATAAGTTTTTTAATACTGTTGAAAAGATTTAAATAATTATATTTAAAAATCAAAATCATGGTGCAAACAAACAAATATAAAAATAATAAAATTACTAAATACTATTTAACTGGCCAATGAAAAATATGATACTTCGCCTTTTATTGCCTGAACTTTTAGTTTTATGAAACAACTATTTTATATCTTGTTTTATTACTAGAAAAGTTGTATGTTGACAGATAAGTAAGTAAAAAAATAAAAATTAAAATGTTTTAGGACAATTTTTTTTAATTATAGAACCTGTAAGTTCCATTAGGCATTAGAGGTTGATTGGTTTTTGAAGACCATTTTTGCTTCATAACGGAAAAATATATTATTGTTTTATGTAAAGAATACATATTAATAGAAATTGACAATTTAAATGCATAATTATCAAAGTTGTATTGAAAAAATTATCAAATTAATAAAAATAATAAATTTTTAAAAATAATTAAATGTAAAAGAGAACTTCAGTACATCTTTTTGGTCTTATATTTTACATATGGAATAAATCAAAAAAGCAATTTTGTTTGATTTACACAAAGGAAAACTTTATAAATAATGTGCAACTGGAATGTGGTTTTGATTCTATATGCTTATTGGCACAATGCTTACATTGATGCTTGTTAGAAACAAATTTGGGCCATTGTTTTCCTCAATTCTGTAATCTGATTTCAATATTTACCGTAAGCAATGATAAGAAAAAATTTAGCAATGGATTCCTTGTTTGATCTAATAAGTTTTGTGTTTGCTATCATCTATTCAAAGATGCTTCTTTTCCTTTTGTCAATAAACCCTAAGTTACTTGTCTTTTGAGATGCAAAATAAACTTTCAAAATGAAATAGTTATGCATTATAATTATGAAATTTCCATTATGAATTAGTGATGATAACTTTCAACAGTACTTCCATCAAGACCAAATTTTTTTTCTACAATTGATTTTTTTTTTTTTAAATGATTAATTTATATATATAAAAATGTTAAGAAAATTGTTAGATTTGAAAGGAAAAAGTACAGAAAAACAAATGCTAACATTTACAAAATTATATCTCTTAGGCTTTATGGGTCCAAGTCCCAATAGAATTTTTACCTCAGCTTAAATATCATTAATTATAGTATTTTATATACCAACTACAATCATAATTGTAGTTGGTATATAAAATAATCATGTAATAATTTTATTCTGATTTCTAAATATTAAGATAAAATAATTTTTTGAATTTATAATTAAGAATAGTACATTTTTTTTCTACTTTCTAGGAATATCAGAATATTGTTGATGCAGAATGGAATATTTTATATGAAAAATTAAGAAAGATTCATGAAGCTGGTGCTAAGGTAGTTTTATCAAAGTTACCTATTGGTGATGTAGCAACCCAATACTTTGCTGATAGGTAAAAAATTTTTTAAATTTAAAATTAAACAAATACTTTTTTGTAATTATTTAGTTATAGCACAATTATTATTGGAAAAAATCCTTTTAAAGTGTCATTTTAATTTTTAACAAATATTTTACATTACTGTCTTCATGTACAAAAATTTTATAAACATTAGATTCTAGGACTATATAAAAGAAAACAAAAATAGGTAAATAACAAATATTAGTTATTCAGCCATAAAAAAAACAAATTTTCTAAGTACTTAATAATAATGGTGTATTCAAATTCTTAAATGATTTGCCTTTTTTTTTTTTTTAATACAAATAGAATAACCAACAACACACAACACGGGTGTAGTAAACAACATACCCTATGAATTGATGACTGGTGTGCAATGAAAAAAAAACGAGAGGAAATTCATCACTAACATTTTCGAACTCAATTCCATTTAACACAAATTTCTTTTAACATTTGAAGAAAAACTTGGGAGTTTGAAAACATTAGTGGCAAACTTTCTCTGTTTTTTTTTTTTTTTTCTTTGTTGCACATTGGTGATGTAGCAACCCAATACTTTGCTGATAGGTAAAAAAATTTTTAAACTTAAAATTAAACAAATACTTTTTCGTAATTATTTAGTTACAGCACAATTATTATTGGAAAAAATCCAATTGGTTTCATAGGGCCAATTACAGAGACAATGTTTAGAGGCCGACGGCGGTTTACAGATCAGGTAGCCCGCTGTTCAGAAAAATTTCATTGCAGAGATGGCGTTTCTTGCCTGCCACAATGTGGACAGGATTAGAAACAAGTTATTTGACCTACTTTCTAGACTCACTGGAAAAGTTTAGATAAAAACATAAAAACAGATATCGTTCCTTTGATAAATGTTGTAAACGGTATGAATCGACAAAATTATTAATTAATTAATTGCTTGGCGCAAAAACAACAAAATTAAATACTTTAAATTTGTTTTAAATGTTCCAATTTCGACATTCAAATGGGTGAAGACTTAAAACTTCAATTTAATTTAAATCAGATGCATTTATTTACAATTCGAGTATCGTGTCGGTTATAAAACGTTAATGCATTTC